AGTGGCAATTGCCGCCCACGAATTCGGAAGCTTGCGTCACTGGCGCAACAATACATTTCTACTACTCTCGATGCTAGAGATCGACAACCTTCCCCTTCCAAGACTTGCTTTGCACCCGAAATTGCCCCTGGCCGCCATGATAGGAGGAAATGTTTTTCTCACTGAAAACAATTCAGGGCTGAAAGAGTTAAGCGAGTTTGGTCTTCTTTTGTCTTCACTGGCATGATTGAATGAGCATGTGATTGGATCGATTGTTGGCAAGTGGCCAGCCGGTTCAGAAAACTCGTCTAATACGCCCCTATTCCATCCCAGACTCTTACGCGGTTGAAAAGGGGATTATGCTCTGAGGGAAGTCCATGGTCTTTTTTCCTTTCTCTTTACCTGACGTTCCTGTGCATACCTTCACACTCATTTTCGAACAGAACAACACACCGATAGGGGTTGTACCTTCCACAAACATCGTAGGGCCTCCGAGGCCTAAGAACGGTATCGATGCATCCCAGCGCAATGTGTTCACAACACCATATCCTACTTGAATGTGTTGGTGTCTCGCTTGCCGTCTATACCGTTCTCTCTAATCCGTTCTGGGGCACTGGCGCCCACTGTCTTAGTCGTATGACAGTTCGCCACCCAAAAAGAGAAGCTATAATTGTCCATGGTCTGGCAGTCGCTTCGCTTTTTCCACTAGCGTCCCATTTCGCACCTCTTGTTCTATTTTTGAGCAAAATACTAACCTAGTACCGTGGGCTGTGAGTTCGAACGACTCCAACCCATTTTCAAATCCAAACACTCATATGCGCCAAGCACTGTCACACAATGGTTACATGAGACAAACCTCGATCAAAAACTTGGCCATGTGATGCATCCGCACTCCGAATTTCATTTCCTTGCTGTACCAACGTAAAAATGTCAATGAATGCGGACGTGAAAGATCGAAGCTAAAAACATAGACAATAGAACAAAAAGAAGAGTGCTTAGAATATAATGCCTGCACTAACTCGGTCGCTATAAGAATCTTGGCTTCCATTTTCAATATCTGCTTTTTGCTGTAGGCATTGTCCGTTATGTATTCGAAATCATGAATGTCCGGCGCGTACATCTCTTCATATTTAGACGCAACCAACCTGAAAGATCAAGTTCACGCATCTAAACTCAAGAAGAAAGTTACTTACACAATCGTAACACTTACATGGATGCAACTCCAACCAGTTGTAGTTCGCCCTTGTCAACCTTGGTTCTAGATAACATCATGTCAAGGAGATAAATAGTGAGATGGAGCGTTTCGGGCAAGAGATGGAAGCGTGTATGGACCTGAATGACAAAAAAATCATGCAGTAATGCCTATTAATTGAGAAAAAAAGAAACATACCTGAATCAGCCAATCGACTAGTATTCCACGCATTTTTGGTGTGGCGGGTGAATGTGACATAAAATCCTCTTCAACCACGCACATCTTCTCACGGTTCAAGAGGTACATATAGACCTGAAAAAGTTCAGCAACTGTGGTGCCATAAGAATTTTGGTTGGTTAAACCTATTTCGCACGGGTTTGCAAATGAGGGACAAATATACTTAATCATAATCCAAGATTGACATTCGAGAAAACAGACTGTACTTTAGGGTAGCAAAACACCGAACTCTCAGTACGCATTTTCAAAATAGGCTGATTTGATTAATTGAAGAGTATTTTATGACGTATGATTCGCACTCAGCTGC